GAGGGCCACAAGGAGTGGGTTGCCTCCGTGGTGGCAGCCTCGGTGGACGCTTGGGTAGAAGGCCCCGGGGTTGACTGGCTGACTGACAGGGGGGACGCCTACTACCAGGGGGGTGAGTTCTTTACCCAGCACCTGATCTACCGGAGGCTTGCCAGGCACTTTAACGTGTCCCTCGAGCAATTCGACCCCTCGGCATATGGCCTCCCTCCGTTGCAACCAGATGTCAGAGTTCCCCTCCCCCCGGGTGAAGAGCGGCCGACAATCTATGATTCTGTAATGATGGGGGGTGACGGGGGTGGAGCCGTCGGGGGTGATGCTGCCGGAGAAGAAGTCTCCTCCAAGGTTGTCGTTGAAGATGCCCCCGAAGACAATGAGGTTGAAGCCGCCATGAAGAGTAGTACTTAGTCACTTTTTTGAAAAAGCTTTGTAATGAACATTTGTCACCCCTCGGCTTTGGCCATACTCTTGTAACAAACACACTTGAATCCCTTTCTTTTGTTGAATGAATGATTGCCTTCGGGCCTTGTGTATATGATGTGCTTCCTTCTGATCTGTTTATTGTCGAATGTATGCCTTCGTCTTGCTTTGGATGTATGCTTTTTTTTTTGAATGTATGTTTTAGGACTTAGAATAATTTTCGATTGTAGCTTGCCCTTGGAAGCCTTCGGGAGATGGCATCCCCTGCTGGATATGCAACCGAGGGTTCTGTAGGAATTAGGACTTAGAAAATTTCTCTAAGTGTAGCACAACATGGGGCCTTCGGGTGTTTGTAGTAACCCACTTCCTAGGACTTAGAAAATTTTCTGAGCGTAGGTTTTCCCCTGTGAGCCTTCGGGAAAAATTTCAGGACTCAGAGATTTTTTGCAAGTGTAGTATGTCTTGTAGCCTTCGGCTACTGTGGAGCCCCAACTGAAATATTGAATAGGTCGGGGGCTAATTCTTTAGGACTTAGGAAATTTCCTTGAGTGTTGATTCCTTGTGTGCTGTAGCCCTCGATTGATAGGTAGCCTTCGGCAATTAGGTCCCTTGAGATGAGGGTGAAATATGTAGGACTTAGAAAATCTTCCAAGTGCAAAATCTCCTTTGGGAGCCCTCGGGAGATGGCATCCCTCCTTGATGTATGAGTAGTTGTCAGGGGGGGGGGGGAATATGTGGGACTTAGAAAATTCTCTAAGTGCAAAATCTCCTTTGGGAGCCTTCGGGAGATGGCATCCCTCCTTGATGTATGGCCTTCGACTGTCATATTCCTCTAGTTGCAATACTGGCTGAGCCGGGGGTCCATCTTTAGGAAATAGAAATTTTCTTTGTTTGCAAGTGTTGTTGTATCGCATAGCCTTCGGCTATTGTATTCCCCTGGCTGCAGTGTTGATTGAGCCGGGGGTCCAATTTTGGGACTTGGAATTTTTCAAGTGTTGTTTCTTTGTGTAGCCTTCGGGTGATAGGTGCCTTTTGACTCTATATTACTTTGCGAGATGCCCGGGGGCTGCTCCTTCAGGACTTAGAATTTGTTTTAAGCATAAATTGATGTTGAGTCCTGTTGTTGTGAAGAAAGCCAATGAGGAGTGTGTGCCCTCGGCATACACCTTAAAAGTTGTAGAATTTGACCCTTGTCATGGGGAAAGGGCCCTCGGTATTTGTGCATAACAGATGCCTTCGGTGTCTGTTTGAAGTACCGTTTAGTGAACCTTGGATAGTCCAGTCCCTTTGTATTGTGGAAGCCTTCGGTGTTTTTGTGACCGGAGGTGACCAGGTAGTGGTCTTTGCCGTTTCCTGATGATATTTGTTTGAGTAGTATCCTTCGGGAAATAGGAGTCTTCAATTACCGGAGGTGTTCCCGTGGGGAGCCCTCGGCATGTTGTGATATTGTTGGAGTGTACTCTTTGATTTCTCGCTGAGTCTACTCCCCTTCACCCCCCCCCCCCCCCCCCTTTTTTTTTTTTTTTTTGGTTGGTGGTGAAGGGAAGGCATCAAGAAACTTGGTTTCTTGGTAAGGCTGGGCCTATTAGGAGACCATCAGAATACACCAATGGCTCTCCTCCCTCGGGTTAACCTTCCGAGTTCCGAGGGGATCGAGGGACGTTTCCTGGGCACAAGATATGGTGGTCCGTAACCTGCCTCCCCTTGGGGGATGGCGCGGAAAGCGCCTCATTTTTGAAAGTCGTCCCCTCGGCGCTAGACATAGTCCGTGGCCTGCCACACCCTTGGGGTGGTGGCGCGGGGAGCGTTTCGGTTTGGAAGTCGAATCCTGGGCATTTCTCATACCTGTCATACCCTGGGGGTAGTGACGCGGATAGCGTTCCGTTTTTGAAAGTCGAATCCTGGGCATTTCTCATGCCTGTCACACCCTGGGGGTAGTGACGCGGAAAGCGTTTCAAGGAAGGGTTTTCATTTGCACATTAGTTGCAAATGGCCGGGGGCACTACTTGCCGCCGGCACCGATGGTGGCGCCTTCGGTATATGCGTCCTCGTGGGGTACGGCTTTTAGAAACAACACTTGGTGTTAGTTTCGATGTGTAGCCCCCGGTACTTGGTACCGAGGGGTCTTCTGTAGGAACACTTAGTGTTCTCCTTTGTTGCAGTTGATGGAGGTGTCTACCCTCGGTACTTGGTACCGAAGGGTCTTCAAATGAAACACTTGGTGTTTCCCAATAGGTGTTTGGAAGTTGATAGGAGAGCATCTCCCTGGCACTGGGTGCCGAGGGGTCTCCTTTGAAACATTTTGGTGTTTTTCTCTTCGTTTCGATGTTTGATGATGGAGGTGTACCCTCGGCACTGGGTGCCGAAGGGTCTTCTGTAGGAACACTTGGTGTTCTCATCTTTTCTCTTTTGATGTTGAAGGTGGGGATGTACCCTCGGCACTGGGTGCCGAAGGGAAATGAAATACATGGTGTTCTTTGTGGTTGGTGATAGGAGTTTCCTCCCTCGGTACTGGGTGCCGAGGGGTCTTGACTGAAAACACGTGGTGTTTTCACTGTTTGTTGTAGGTGTTGATGGTGTCCGCCCTCGGCACTTGGTGCCGGAGGGGGTTCTTCTCGTGGTGAGGTCGGGGGCCTGTAGTCAGTATGAGGGCTTGATGTCTTAAATGTATCTTCATTCTTCGAAATTGGAGGCCTTGGGCCATAGGATAGTACATTCACTAGTTATGAGGGCTTGGCCGCTCTTACATTATTGATAAAATTTAACTAAATGGTGTACATTCCAGTGCCTAGGGACTTCTTTCCCATTGGGGCGTTTGAGCTTGTAGGTCCCGGGTTTGATGATGGCTGCTATGATGTAGGGGCCTTCGAATTTTGGTGCCATTTTTCCTCCCTCGGTTGGTTGGCTGGCTTCCCTCCTCCGGAGGACATAGTCCCCCACTTGAAATTCTCGGGTTCGAACTTTGGCGTCGATGTAGCTTTTAACTTGCCTTCGGTAGTTTTCTGCCCGGATGAAGGCCTGCTCCCGGCGTTCTGAAATGAGGTGGAGGTCGAGGGCCATGTTGCTGTCGTTGACCTCGGGGTCATACTGGATCACCCTTCGGGTAGGAAGGGTGACTTCCGTAGGAGCTTTGGCTTCAAAACCGTAGCAGAGGGAGAAGGGTGTTTCACCCGTAGCTCGCCGAGGGGTGGTGCGGTAGGCCCAAAGGATGTTGTGAAGTTCTTCTACCCAGCCACCGCCCTCGGCCTCCAGCTTCTTTTTGAGGCCCTCGAGCAAGGTCCGGTTGGCATTCTCTACTTGCCCGTTGCCTTGAGGGTAGGCAACGGAGGAGAAGGTGTGTTTGATGCCCCATGCCTCCAGAAGGGCACAGAAGGGGGCTGCCTCAAATTGTGTCCCATTATCGGAGATGACCTGCTGGGGGACGCCAAACCTTGTGAGGATGTTCTTGAGGACGAAGTGACGGCACTTCGCCTCTGTGATGCTGGCGAGGGGTTCAGCCTCCACCCACTTGGTAAAATAGTCGACGGCCACAATGATGTATCTGTTGTTGGAGGTACCCCTCGGCAGAGGGCCCACAAGGTCTATCCCCCATCGAGAAAATGGGACAGAGGTGCTGATGGGGGCATAGTTGACCGCTGGCCTGCCGGGAGCTTTCTGGAAATGTTGACATGCGGTGCACCTCCGGGCAAGGTCAGCACAATCCCTGGCCATGGTTGGCCAGAAGTAGCCCTGGAGAATGAGCCTTCGGGAATAACAAACAGCCGAAGGCTTTTGTTGCCACAAGCCAACATTGCAAGGCAAAGGAAACTATCCTAAACCTACAACAAATACAGCCGAAGGGTCCCCTCCCGAAGGCCAGCGGCAGGAAGTACTTAGAGAAAATAATCTAAGTCCTAAATACTTTGCCCCCTGTGGAGCCTCCATCCAGCCGAAGGCGCATTTGAGACAAGGTCCTCACATTCAACCGAAGGTTCCTCCTTCATACAAACTACACTTAGAAAATTTTCTAAGTCCCAAATGTTTTTGACCCTCGGTCGAATCTCCAGGCAGCCAGAGGGGCCGCACAGTCAAAGGCTTGATGAAACTACACTTACAAATATTTCCTAAGTCCTAAACATTTTGAGCCCTCGGTTATATACCCATGCAGCGAAGGGTACCCACGCACCGAAGGCTAGACAATAACCAAGCACTTAGAAATATTTTCTAAGTCCTAAGCACCTTGCCTCCGGTGATCTCATGAAGGCTACACAGAACCAGAGGGAAGGAACCAGCCGGGAGCCAACAGATGAACAAACACTTAGAAATATTTCTAAGTCCTGAACATTGTGCCTTCGGTGAAATGATCAGATGACTAAATAGGCATAGTGGCCGAGGGCTACAAAAGGCACTATGCTTAGAGGAATATATTCTAAGTCCTAACATACAATCAAAGAAAGACGAAGGCATACATTCAGAAAAGGCGAAGGCATACATTCAGAAAAAGATGAGGGCATACATTCAAAGAAAAAACAATTAAAAGGAACGGGTCATACATAAAAAGCCCGAAGGCAGTTATTCATTCATTGAGGGGAGAAAAAGTTGGAGTATACATAACAAAAGGGCCGGAGCCAAAAGTACAACAATATGATTACAGATTGGTGGGGAATACATTTTACGAGAGGGGAGATACAACATCGCCCCCTTCGACAGTTGTGGAGATAGCCTCGCTTTCGGCCTCATCCCCATCACTCCCGAGGCCACACTCCCTCAAAGTCTCCGAATCTTCCAGCACCGGTCTCTCTTCGCCTTCGGGGAGCGGGATCCTGAGGTCTGGCTGCCGAGGGGGGAGGCCATAGGCCTCGGGCTGGAACTCCTCCGGTGAGAGCTTGAAATGCCTCGCGAGCTTCCGGTATATGAGGCGCTGGGTGAAAAACTCCCCACCTTGATAGTAGGAGTTGCCCTTCTCAGCAAGCCACATCTTGTCGGGGCCTCCAACCCAGTCATCCACTGAAGCCCCCACCACCGAGGAGAGCCACTCTTTCTGATCTCCGGCTTTCCACCCCTCGGCAGTAAAGCCGGCTATAGCATCCTCCCAGGCTCTGGAGACAGCCTCTTCCTTAGCCGCGCGGGCTTCCTTTGCAGCAGTACGGGCGGCCTCGGCAGCAGCCTCCCCGTCCTTAGCCAGGCCCTCGCTCATCCCCTCGGCCCTCGCAGCTTGCACCCGCTGCTCCATGCTGTCGGTGGCCAAGCGAAGAGAATCCTCGGCCTCGGCGAGCTTCTTCCTAAGAAGGGCAGCCTCCCCTTCGGCTGCGCCCTTCGCCTCCTTCATCTGCTCCACCCTTCGAATGTGCTCACAGAGGCCCATGAAGCTCTGCAATCCACAAGGGCGACAGTTAGATATGATAAACACAGTACGAAAGGACAACAACAAACACAGAGGAAAAAGATAGGCGTGACTTACGGAGGCAGTGTTCAGAAGAATCTTGGCCTCGAGGGAGCTCTCGTCCAGTCTGGCGAGGGCCAAGCGATCAGCCGAGGGCAGCATCTGGCTCATCAGCGCCGAGGGGTTTAGGCTACCCTCCAGTACTGAAGCCCCCTTCGGCACTATCGCCTCCAGTTTCTCCCGCCTGAAGAACTCTTGGTTTATGTGCTCCTGAGAGGTGGGGGCAGAGGCGTTCCCCTCATCCACAATGACAACCACGTCAGTGGTCGGCTACTTGGCGGGGGCGGTGGATTTTAGCTTCTTGGCCGGGGGCTCGGTCCCCTTGCCGTTGTTTTTCTTCTTCACGGGCCCAGCACCTCTGGACCCCCCGGCGCCAGCACCGGCAGTAGCCGCTTGGGAGGGCTCCTCCCTGGCAGAAGTGCCCACCGGGCCCTTCTTCTTCCCCTTCGCATTCTTCAAAGCGAAGAGAGAGATGACGTCCATGTTATTACCTGCAAAAACAAGACACAGAATGGTTAAACCGAAGGGTGTCAGTTACAATGGCATAGAGTAAAAGAAAAATATATGTGAAGGAAAACTATCAAGGTACAAATAAACCCTTCGGGAATCACCTTCGGCTCCTTCGAAGACACGATCGAGGGGAGGGTATCTTTCATCCGATGAGCCCCTCGGCCTGAACTGCCGGAAGCCAAGACTAAACAGTTCTTCGGGGAGAGTGACGTCCTTGATTTTAACGTGCTTATCGGACCCCTCCGGTTTTTTGGCGAGTATTCGGCCGTTCTTCTCCAGGGCCGCGCTCCCTACCTTAGGGTGGCGCCGGAAGCTGTTGCGGAGCTGGGCCGGGAAGGGGTTCTCCCCCAAACGTATGTAGCAAAACCGCTCCTTCCACCCCTTGTGGGACGAAGGCACATCGTCAAAGAGCCTGAACTCCGGTACCTGCTGAAGGTTGGCAAACCCCTCAGCATTCGAATGCCCCCCCCCCCCCCCCCGGCATAGATTGAAGGACATGAAGAACTGGTTGAGGGTAGGTGAAACCCCCCGGCTCCTGCAAAAGGAGAGAAAGCCGGCCACGTAAGAATGGTTGTTGGGTGTTAGCTGGCAGGGGGCCAACCCCACGAACCTCAGGTATTCCAGCAGAAAGGGGTGAAGCGGAAAGCGAAGCCCCATCTCCACCGACAGGGTGTGAACAGCAAAGCACCCTTCGAGCGCATATCGCAACAAATCGTCTGCCCCTGGCTCCACCACGCGCGCCGAAGGGCCAACCAGGATCTGAGTGGCCTGGTACTCTGCCGGGGACGCCCTCGTCTTCAGCTCTAGGGCAGCGGTGTTCAGGAACGAATGGCCCTCGGGTATTCCTACCGGCCGCCCGGCATCTACGGCCGCTTGTTTCTTCTTCGGGGTTGCCCTCATCTTCTTCTTTTTCCCGGGAGCCACACTGATGGGCGATGGGTTCAAGGGCCGGGAGGAGCTGGATTCCCCGGCACCGCGAGGGGGAAGGACAGCAATCGTCACCTTCATCCTCTCCCTCTCCTCTTCCTCTTCAGCAGTCTGTACGGCAAGGGCGAGCTCTTCGTCCTCATTCACTTGCTCGAAGTCTTCGGCTTCGACTTCGGCCCGGAGGTCCTTCTCCACCTCCATGGCCACAACAGCGTCATCACCCACCGAAGACTCCTCGCTCGAAGACTCGACGTCGGAGTACGTCTCCATCTCAACTGAAGGCTCCCCCGAAATATCTTGGGAATCACTTTGCGAGGACATTTCGTACTAAATCAAGGGTCGAAGGGAGGTCCTAAAAGCTCTAAGCTACGGGCACTTAATCTAAGGCCGAAAAGTAAGGGGGAAGTGAAGTATGCAAGAATGACCGAAAGCGGGGCAAGAACTGACCTTGAAAGCTGGGGATTCAACCGAAGGCTGGATTTTCTCTCTCTAGAAATTTGGGCAGAGCTTCGCTAACAAATGATCGCACAAGAGAGGTGATGCCCGGCCATGGGGTATTTATAGGCGCCCAGATCCAGGCTTGGGCCCAAAAACCGGGCCTCCGGTCACCAAGTCATCATTACAAGCCGTGGTTTCGCCCAATCGGTATCGCCGCCCGCGGGCAGCCAACCGTCGTGCGCCACGTGTGCCCCCCCCCCCCCCCTCAACGGCTATATAGTGACGTTAGATATTCCAACGGCTATATTCACAACGACTATATTCTGGGAGCCTCCGGCTACATTTAGCAGCCCACTCCTTCATCAACCAAGGAACTAGCCCCGGGCTTTTTACTTCACGCCACTTCATCAAGGAGAGCCCCCGGGTACACTTACCCAGAGACGCTCCCGGTTTGTGCCCCACACAATACATAACAAATGCCTTCGGGCTCACCCCCTCAGAAGCCCACGGCTTCATAACAGGCACACCCCTCGGGGATCCTCCCTCAGCACTTTGAAGGCCGGGTAGCCCCCGGGGAGTACGCCTCATTGACAGATAGCCTACGGCACACAGGTAACGGGAGCCCTCGGATACCCTCTTCACCAATTGATCAACAAAAAGGGGACCCCCCCCCCCCCCCCCCGGTAACACTTCAACTACTACTCACATTCATCACACCCTCGATCCCCGGATTGAGGGACTCCCCTTCGGCACCCCCAAGGATATCAACAGTAAGCCTCCGGCTAACCAACACACACGCCCCCAGAACTAGGATAGCCTTCGGCTTCAACATTGTACTCCATTTCTAACCAGGGCTTCACATTTTCGATTCATCGTTGGGGGAATTCGGTGCACTCTTTTTCCCTCATTAGGATTTTTTCCCACAGGGTTTTTCCTAATGAGGTTTTTAACGAGGCATCCCCCCAAAATGAAACGAAAAGCGTCAGCCTTCGGCCCGATACAACAACATGATTACTCTACTCCTTTTCACCACTTTGCAAGTGCCTCAAGGAGTGGGGGACTGGAGGACCCCCCTCGGGGAAAATCAAAAAAAGTGAAAAATGCTAAAAACTCCCGCAAACAGCAAACATGTCCCCTCAAGTCCCGACATGTGGGTAACTGAGGGACTGCCCTCGGCAGAATAAACAGACAGCAAACTACCCACAACTCTACAAACTACAACGGAACAACGGCGGAGGACAAACACAATTACTCCTTTTCCCTCAAGTACCTTTCGGCAAAAGGAGTGAGGGACTCCTGATGGAGTATATGGCCCGGGAACCCCCGGTCCACAGACTTCTACTACGCCAATAAAGGCCCAACAGGCCCAGGAAGCACAGCAGGCCTAAATCACAACGCCCAGAGTACCAAGCGGCCCACAGTGCGCATCAGGGGTGCCTTCGGCCCCCTGGCCGAAGGCTCCAATTCTCACAGAAGGGTCAAAACAGGAAAACAAAGTTACTGGGAGAAAACGGCGAAAATCAGTAACCCTCGACACCTGGAGCCCTCGGGAGTAAGGAGGTCCTCGGTACTCAGAGCCCTCGGCTAATCACCTATAGCCGAGGGCACCTTTTCCGACATAATATCCGCTCCACATGCGTATAGATCACCGTAACAAGTACGACGTCACATCCAACAGTCGCATTAAATGCGGCCACATGCGGTTGCCAGCGCCAACCAGTTGAGGTGACCCCTCAGCCAATGGATGCTTGACACGTGTCCCTGTCCGGCATTTATTGCTACTATAAATAGCACCCCTTTTCCCCATTTGTAACCAAGAAGCAAACACGCTGACTACACTTTCTAATATACTCTCTCTCTACTTACTTGCTCTGACTTCTCTCTAGTTATTCCCTGTAATAACCCCTCGGATAAGTTACCCCCCGGGTACACTATCCATCAATACTGATCAAGATAGTAAGATACCCTAAAACTAATATTTATTACTATTATTATTAATATTATTATATCATTATCATATATAATACTACATATGATTTTATACTTTTAGTAGTCCAAGAGACCTTTTTATGACTTAATTTCTAGTTTATTCTACGAGTTTTTTGTACGAGAGAAATCGGCGCAAATGTGGAGCTATATGCCTGTACAAGAACCGATACTTTATTAGATAAAAGTACTAATTTTCCATGAGAGACCTTGATTTTTTTTTTGAAAAGTGAATATATATTTTGCTTTTAAATTTGTACACTTTGGTGTATATTTCACATACATGTCTTGCTATTTTCACAAAGTTTATAATGGTGTGTGTATCATACTTGGCGAGCGGGTCTACCCGACCCGATTCCAAGACCCGTTGGGTCTGGGTCCGGGTCCAAATTTTCAGACCCGGCGGGTAAACGGGTCGGGTCCGGGTCCATTATTAACTTAGCGAGTCCGGATCTGGAACACTATGTTCCGACCCGGACCCGACCCATTGACAGGTCTAATTGCAACTACACTATCATCACTCAATTTTTTTAGATACATTCCCTATTAAAAAATGAAGGATTATCGGTAGGGTTGGACTCGGGTCCGGGCCGGGTCCGGGTCGGGCCTAGGCCCGGGCGGGCCGGCGGGTCAGAAATGGTGGACCCGGGACCGGCCCGGGTAACCACCGGGTCCGGTCCGGGTCCGGGCCGGGCCGGGCCCATTATAATTTTTTTTTTGTTTTCCTCTTCCTAAGTAACCCCCCTCCCACCCCCAACCCCCAAACCACCCCAAATGGCCCAAAATACCCAGCCCAACCCAAAACTTTAAAAAAAATTGCAAAAAAAAAAAAATTGTTTTTGGCCCGAACCGGGCCCGGGCCCGACCGGGTCGGGCCTTGATTTGGGTGACCCGAGCCCGGACCGGAAAACCCACGGGCCGGGCCTACCCGGACCGGTCACTGACCGGGCCACCGGGTCGGGCCAAGCCGGAACAGTACCGGTCCCGGGCCGGTTCCGGGTCGGGCCACCCGGCCCGAGTCCATACCTAATTATCGGGCTAAGATAACCCATATGACTGGGAGTATATGAGGCTCTTTAAACCACTGAATTTAAGGAGAGAAAAAATCTTGCCTCTTTTATTACGTAGTATTTCCCAAATCCTATGCCATTTGTTCTAAGGTGTGGTTACTATATACTACGCATAATTTTAGATATCTAGATAATTTGACTAAATATCAGCAAGGTTCTTAAAGATAAGTGTTTACACATTACATTTGCCGATAAAGGTTGCCTCTTACCTAGGCTTGGATTCGGGTCGGGCCACCCGGCCCGTGGACCGGCCCAGCCCGCTACTGTGCGGGACCGGGACCGGCCCGGTTCTCGGGTCCGGGTCCAGGTCGGGCCTAGGCCCGGGGGGTAGGGCGGTTCCGGGCTCGGGTCTCAATTTTGGTGAACCGGCCCAGCCGGGTCGGGCCCGGGCCAAATTGAATTTTTTTTATTTTTTTTTTTCATTTTTGGGGTTCCACCCGGGTTGGGCTTGATGGGTAGGATGGGTTTGGGGGTGTTTGGGAGGGTGGGGGTGAGGGGGGGGGGGGGGGGTTAGGAAAGCAACAAAAAAAAAAAATTCAAACCGGAGGCCCAGCCCGGCCCGGTCCGGACCCGGACCGGACCCGGTGTTTACCCGGGCCGGTCCCGGGTCCACCATTCTTGAACCGCCGGCCCACCCGGGCCTCGGCCCGACCCGGACCCGGCCCGGACCCGAGTCCACCCCTACTCTTACCGAGTATTAATCATCATTCATAGTTGAGTCACTTGAATAATTCATGTGAAGTGAGTCACGCAAATTTTCATAAAGATGCTAATTTTTCATGTCATTAAACTGCGGTTTCATTATTTGAACTCTTGTCTTATCTACTTGAGCTATACTTTAACTATTTTAGATTGTATCGAGTCTATTGACACCATTTCAAAGTGCATTAGTCTCATACAAACAAAATTAAAACAATAACATAAATCGCATTTATATGCATTATGATGATCATTCAAACAACAATACTAAACTAACTGTATCCCCTGTGTGGATGGATATACATTCATAAATTGAAATGATTCAAATCAAACCAGTAAAACCATTTGGCGTACTAATGATGAGGGGTGTGGCAGAGTCGTACTACCTCTACCAGGACCGACACGCACACGCTTAGCATACATGATGTTACCTCCAGAATGGCAAACACGTTGAACATAGCATGATATCTCTATAAAAATATGACACGCTGAACACAGGCATGGTGCTATCTCTACAAGAACATGGTATGTAGAGCAGGTCATGGTGCTACCTTCACCTGAGCATGAACACTACTAATTTCACAGAACATGGCATGCCGCCAACCTCACTATTAAGCATACATGGTTTTACTTTCAGGAAGCTACGTATTTACTGACAAATCGCATATCATGGGACAATTTACATCAGTCCCGCAAATCACAGAACAATAGCACGTCAATTTAGGTAAAGTGACCACATTGTCCAAATATTGTGTCTCATAATGTAGTATAGATCCATGTATTTCTTGGAAGAACGATTAAACCGAGTACACTAAATATAATTATCTCTCTACTAATTATACTTATTGCATTTAATTATTTTCGGCCATCTCTTCCTATTTTAAGGTGGATTTAGTTCCATCAAGTATAATATGGGGATTTAAAAGAGAGTAATACTAAAACGTAAACTCATCTTACTTCTAAGTTCTAACCCTATAAACATCCTCTATTTCATGTATGCTACTACAAATACATCCTGTCATAGCAACAACTCTAATAATAAAGCATGAAAAACTTAGAGTCAACCCCATAATTGGTGTGCATTGTAATGTCAATTTTATGATCATCTTCAAAAGGACCATTATACCCAGGTTGATGAATATGATGAATAAACTCATTATTGAGATCTTAAATAGTATTGGGTGTACCAACTCATATATAGAAATTGTGGAAATAAAGAATCAAAAAGTAACAATGTAGAGACCGTAACCTGCACACCAGATGCTTGCCACCAACCGTCTTTTTTATGGTCCAAATTGAATTTTTTAACATTGATACAAGTAATTTTGTATAGTATTTTTTAGGACAAGGTAGAAAAGAACTCATAACGTAGTAAGGAAAGTACTGTTATTTTTATAACAAAAATATTAACAAAGTAAATATACTACCTAGCAATGAAATGCATAAAAATAATGGTTTGACATTATTGTCACATTAATGGAGACAATATTGAATTTATTGATAATGTAGGATTGCACATGGCCTAATAGGAGTAACTCTATATACTAAGCATCACCTGTCATTCATTTGAGTAACAAACTCCTTTATAGTAAGAGTAGTATACCATCATAAATGACCAGAGTAGGTAACACAGGTAGATCAGGCAAAAAAAAACCAAAACAAAAATCTATAGTCACCCATGATTTGTTTGTTTAATAGCAACTACTAAGTTCTAACCAACTAAAAATGATGGTGCTTCTTATTTGATAACTTACCAGAGTGGTTGTCTTCAACAACCACATTACCGTCATCATCATCATCTCTGTCCCTCTTCTGAACTGTTGTTGGGTGGGATGGTGGCACCTCTTGCACTTCACCGTCTTCATCTTCTTCATCCTCCTCAACTCCTCCCCCTCCTTCATCCAACTCGTGATCTACAGCAGCTCTGTTTCCTGCCTCCTCCTCCATATCACTCATGCCGCCATCAACCTCCACATGTTCTGTTGGTTGAACTGCCATGTGTGCTGCATCTCTATCTATTTCCTGCTTGCGAACAGAAGAAATATTAAGCTTTTTTATAAAGCCACACTAATAATTTAAAACGTTCATATTTTATTTTAATAATACTCCCACAATTACTTCATATAGCACCCCACCATCGACTGCCATTCTCACAACTTTAGTAATGTGGTTAGGTTAAAAACACACCATTTCAGTATCACTGAGCAGTTGCACTGCCAAGGCCGCTATTTTACAGCTCAGATTATAATTTCTTTTTCACAATCACTTCACTTATTGATAGTATTTGCTCAACAAAACTGCCCACCTTGACTTGGATTGGGTTCAACCTAAAACTTCTACTTTGGAAGGTACACAATACAATGCAGCTCATGTTATATAATAAAATTATATGTATCTCAATAATGCAAGAGAGCAATTCTGATGCAAATGATAACAACTATTGAAAGCTGTTTCCTCCAAATTTTGAGTGAAATATGAGATTTTAAGGGTGGTCCGTATCCTTCCATCCAGCAAAAAACTACGGAGTGTCGGAGTATGTTCCTTACCGTCTGCCTAACTCTTCTCACCAAACACAACTCATTTGCTTTCATCACCTACCCTTCAAATTCCACCAACCAAAAATGGGCTTAGAATTTAGTAATGCTGCACTATTTGATAACTAGTTCTTTGATATGTTATCAACCTGATATTCTAAAAACAAAAAACAACTTATTTTAATACTTCGGCCAACTGCTCCCATTTCCTGCTAATAAAACTATTAGAACATAATTTATTGTGTTCAATTTAATTAGATTTATCATTGTTTAATTAGGATTTTATCAATGGGCCTTTATAATTAATTAGGAGCCATTTAATTAGATTAATCAGGCTCATCCTATTGTAACTAGGATGTTCGGCCATATACCTATAAATAAAAGAAGTATGGACTGAACAGCCTAGAAGTTCCCCATTCTGAAATAGCCTCACGCATCATTCTTAGGAACTCCCACGTTAGAGAGAGAAAGTCTCCACAGAATCTGTTTCCGCATATTATTTTCGTAGAGCACCTAGATTAGAAATCCTCTCTCAACATTCTATTCGTGTATTGTTCTTCACCGAGACATCATTATGAATACACGGTATATGTTGATGTTGAATTTCTCTTCTACTGTTTAAATTCTGTCAATTATTCTTAGTATTATTTGACTGTTGAATCTGAGCTACGTTCACACAAAAACAGCAAAAAAATATCTATGTGAAATCAGTGATGTCAATCGCTCACTATAGCGCCGCTATGGCGGTGGAGCGGAGCGGGTCTGGCGCTACTAGACCTCCTGTAGCAGAGCGTTTGGGTGTAGCGGACTTCGCGGGAGCTATAGCAGGGGGCGCTATACAGGTAGAGGCAGTGGAGGACCTAAGGGGGGGCTAGGTGGGGCACGTGCCCCCGCTTCGAGCCCGGAATTTCACTAGTAGTACTTAGGATAAAAACGAGTGCCCCGCCTTCATACCAGTATTTGATAATTAAGATACTAAAATGTTACGGTTATATAAAAATAAGGAAATTTTTCAATTCACGACCTGAAAGATAGATTGATTATCAATTCAGGATCCGAAAGATGAAACGTATCGGTATAGGACCCGAATGATGAGAAACTATCAATTTAGGACCTAACATTATTTCATAGGTTTTGATTTGTTTAATTTTGTATTAATTCCATTACTAATTTTTGATAAATTTTTCTTCACAAAAGTTTATTAGTTTAATAAAACTTAATAATATTTCAAAATTTTAAAATTAAAAAAATAATAAAATTTATGACAACTTAGGTCCTAGATTGATAGTTTTTAATCATTCAGGTCCTAAATTGATAGTTTTTCATCATTCGGATCCTATATCGATGCATTTCACCTTTCAAGTTCCAGATTGATAATTCATCTATCTTTCGTGTCCTGAATCGATAAAATTCTTTAAAATAAAGATATAGAATTATCAAAAAACAAAAAAAAAATAATTAAGAATTGAAAACAAAAAGTAACAAAAAAGTTTAAATGCAAAAAAGTAGGCAATGTGCGGGCAACTAAAAGTACGGAGTATTAAAAGTCTAAAAACTCACTAACATTTGGAAGACTAGAATGATAAAACATAAGTTCTCCAATTTCTGTGAGTCAAAGCTACTGAACCTTGCGGAGTTATATTTATGCAATTTTTCATTTGTTGATCGAATGGAGCTGAAAGAGCAACTTCAGGTGTGGATATATGAAATGAGATCAAATGAGTTATTTTCTGCCGTACAAAAACTATTGGTGAAGTTTTGAATTGTAAGAAGATGATTGAGCTTAAAGTTCACAATTCTTTTCACGTGATATATTGTCTGGTTGAGTTGGCTTTAATGTTACCAATTGCAACGGACACCGTTGAAAGAGAGGCCTTCTTTGTGATGAATATTATCAAGACAGATCTTCGCAATAAAATGGGAGATGACTATCTTACGGATTACTTGGTGTGCTACATCGAGAGAGATGTTTTTAGAAGCATTGATAATAAACTATTATGCAACATTTTCAGAATATGAAAACTCGTAGGCTCGATTTACCAAAGTTGCAGCAGTGATCTATTTAATGTGTAATTAACTATTCTGTATAATTTAATACATTTTTTTAACCATCTTTATTACATTTGGAGTTTTTATTATAGACCAACTTTGGTGTCTAGTGTGCCCCGCTCTCACAAATCTCTGGGTCCACCACTGAGTAGAGGCGGACGCTATAGCGCCGCTTCTTGCGATCGAAGGTCTGCAAGGGTTTTTCTGCGTTTATTTTTTGACTACGGAAGGACAGGGGTAAAGTAGACTTTTAAAACTAAATAGGAACCAACTTAAAACCCTTGTACACATACGCAGAAGTGTAGAACCCTTAAAAACGGCTCCATGTTTTAATAAATCCGTATGTCTTCTCCTCTCTCTGTTCTGCGATGACCTCTGCTTCAACAAATTTTTCTGCTCCATCTATTTCAAGAACAACCTGTGCTCCTTCATCTTGTAGAAGAATGACACATGCTACACTCCTCTCTGTTTCTTTCCAGTGGTAGACTGATACACTATTAATTTATCAAGGCTTAAACCAGGAACTTGTTTTTGATTCAATGTTTTGACTTAGATGTTTTAATCATTAATAGCATTGTATGTTTTGCTCATGAAACTAAGAAATATTTCCCAGTAATTTAGGATTTAAAATTTAAAAATGTTAAGATGTTTGCAACTTTAAATGGCATATATCATACTTTACTAATGTGTATGTAATGTAATTATATGTTTCTAGTTAATTATATATTATACTTAAAAGTAGTCTGAATAGCGGTCATCCCGCTATACCGCTGTAGCGTTTTCAAGGTTGGCCGCTCCGCTCCGCTATCTGAATTGACAACACTGTGTGAAATCAAGGAAAATATCTCCTGGCCATGTTTTATACAGTTTTCATTAATCTATTATAATGATATATAGAAAACACGTTAAAAATTATGGTAGTTATCAAACTCATTAGATAATTTAAACCATGCTTTCTGCATAATTTTCTCATTACATAGCATCAAACATTTCAAATTTACCAAATGGAACAATAAAGGTACAAACTCACTAAAACAACACACCAAACTATAAAAACACGAGAACTAAAGGAAAATGAGTAAGAAAGAAGACATACGGATCCAGTGCCTTAGGAAATTAGAACATATTACTACGTATAATTTAAGAGGTTAATGGACAGCGTTTTACTCCCTCATTACCATAAAGGAAATCGCTTTTGCAAACTTGGCTTCACTTCTGATTAGTTTCTACTTAACAGTTTCTATACTACAGTTATTGCCTTTTTCCAATTTTACCCTTCTACTTTTAGCACTGTGGTGCACCTTGAACTTTATAACATTCTTAAATACTCTAGAAAGCTACTTGATGAAGATTATATAAACACAATAAATAAAGCCATAAAGGTATACTAGTCTTTTAAACTCTTATCTATGTATTTTAGCAACTTCTTAAGTATGTCTGAGAACTTTAGAGTGAACTCCTTGACTAGAATTTTTTCTGATTGCTAGATACATAAGAATTCAGCAAACATTGACTTAAACCGAAGCACACGCCCAGCAGGCAATGACATTATCCCTTAAGATTCATAAGAACAACAGCTATACATATATGTGACCATCACTATCCCCTATTCTAGAGGTACCTTCTTATCAAAAGTCAATACAGTCTTCCAATAAAACTATGAGCTTTTAGAGAAGGCTTGAGAGTTGAGATACTTCAGGCAAAAGGAAACACAAACACTTTATACACAAGAATTAAAATAGCAACAGAATTTTAAGATTAAAAAGACCCATTAACTCCATCACGAAACACCAATCCTTTTTGCATTAAAACTTCCAAGTATCGTGTCTTTTTTATACTGTGGTGTAAGACATATTGGCAATACTTTAGCTGTTACTGGAAAAATATGCTTATATTACACATGGAAAGAAACACATATGCAACTAATGTCGATACACAAGAAGATGTGTGGGTAATAATAACTCTAAATCTCTATGATGTTAGATTGAACCTTCTACAAGAAGTTGCAGGTTAAGAAAAAGAGAAAAACAATAATTCAACCTAATTACGAAAGCATATCAGTAAAAGAATGGAATACAAGCTCTTTCTACACACCTGATAAAATTCTACGCGCTTCTAGTGAGACAAATTAATCATTAAAACAACTATACTAAGGAGTATTAACTAGAACCATTTGGATGTGAATACACAGGCCTTTGACCTATTAGACACAGATCTGTCTCTTTAGTTTACGTATCATATGATCAAATAAAAATCTAAAAGCGTTAAAAAAAGTTGTAACTCAAAATAGGTACTATAAGATACCTTGCATTGTGATATTAGCATGAAACAAGGTATTGCGTAATTTGTAATGCTATGAAGTTCACAAAGAAAAAAGTTACTCCGTATTACATAATAATTTGCAGAAGTATGAAGACAGATAATAATCATTACCTCATCCTCAGCAACCTCAAGATCAGCATCCTCTACTTCCTGATCTTCCTCCCCAGAATCTCCGTTATCATTGACACCATCATCATCTTCCCCCTGCTCATGTGCATCAATTTCCACCAACCTCCGAGTACTTCTCAGATCTCCAGCATTATCCAGTTCCTCCCCATCCGCATCGCTATCATCTTCTACCACATCCTCTTCCTCATCACTACCATCAATCTCATAAACATCAGCAGTAGGAGAGGCATCACCATCTACTTCATCAGTCGATACATTATCTTCCTCATTTTCATCATCTTCTGCTGGAGCTATTCTATGACCATTGGACGGTTTATGTGAAATCACTTGTTTGAATCCCCTAGACCGTGCAGAGGACTCCGCCTCTTCCTGATCGGCATCACTCTCCTCATCCACATCAACGACCCCATCATTCACATCTTTGATCCCATTACTAGCCCGGCTAGGTCTATCTTCTCTGTCAACTTCGCCACTCCCTGGACCATCATCGACCTCGTCGACCTCTAACGCCGGCCTTTCATCGCCATCTGCATCCATATTATCCAGGTACTATACGACTTGATCAATCGTAAATCCCTAGCCTGATAGGTAATCCCCAGCCTTTGTCAGCCGACACACATACAGATCAAGCGAGACAAGTATGAGTTGTGCTAGCGGCAGAAGACTATCAGAATTACTGAACCTGCTCTTCGACAAATCGATCCTCAATCCTGTCTCCAACGGGGAATCCTGACGACGCGACGATTCTATTTTCCGACAAAATTATTGAATTTCACGGGTTTATGACGCCGGTGAATACAGGTGCCTCTAAAACGTTCCGAGGGCAGGGGAACTTGAGAGATTTTCGTAGTTTTCTTTTGAAGTTATATTTTGCCGTTGGATATGCAAGTCGGAGATCTACGGTACAGGTTCAGTAGGCTTCTTTTGACTTTGAATTTAGCATCTTAAATTAAGGTTTGTGACTGTGTTTTTTATAAGTGATTTTCTAACCGATTATCGTAAAAGTAATTTATAGTATGATGGATTATGGATCAAGGCGGCTTAAATATTTTTTTGGATCCGGCATGGACTAGGCTTACACGTATTTGGGTCTCCCATCCTCGTCGGAATTGTCCCACTGCCGTTGACCCTGAGCCATCACTGGGTAACCCGATCTCTGTCGTCCATCCAGCCACCGATAGCAGGCCCACCGGCCAAGCCGCAGAGCAGATAAGCCTCAACAAGTGTATTTCACGCTTGAACCGCCAACTCAAACCAAACTCTCTCGTCGATGTAAATCCGACTCCAACGACATACAACCACATCGTAGAAACAATCAAATCACTAAAGAGAATCAAATTCCAAGCAACAAAACCCGCACCAACCTATACAGAAGTTAGGCGGCGGAAATAGCAAACCCTACAAGAGAGGGATACGGCTGCTTTAGGAATTTTTTAATGTTTGTAATATTTTGATAAATTACAAAAATATCAATCATTTTGTCAGTTTTTCTTTATTGAAGCCTCAGATCTGGTTATAACCTTTAGATGGTTTGATTGGTTTGAAAACCAGATGTGAAAGGAAGATTTCTCCCTGGTAGTAGCGCAGTGAGGGCGCCAAATAAAATGGCTTGTCCATCTCACCTTCATGTCTACCTCCTTTTACCCAAGTAATTTGGTGCAACTTCAATGCAAAGAGCTTTGTTGCCATGCCTACATCACTCCGTTATATACGTTGTATTTGTGTGTATTAATATATAGGAAAAAATATTTAAAATATCTCAAACTTTGAAGGTGTGTCAGATAAACACCTTAAACTTACATATGTAATTTAAATACCCTAAAATTTATATAAAGAGTTATTTTAGCACCATAGGCAAGTACAATTGCTTTCAAAATGTAAATTTATGGTGTTCATTGCATAATTTAAAATATTTTAGAATTCACGAAAACACAATTAACATTTTAAACTTTCATTGTGAAATAAATAATGTTACCACCAATCTATATAATTGCAACATTTTTAATTTGCGATTTTAAATTATGCAACTAACCCCATAAATTTACATTTTTGAAAGAAATAATACATGACTATGGTGCGAAAATGAGTTTTTATATAAAGTTTGCAGTATTTAAATTATATATGCAAATTTGGGGTGTTTATCTTACACCCTTCAAAGAGGTATTTTTATTATTTCTCTCTATTATATATGTATTTATATTGGTGTGAAGTGACGTTATGAGAAACAGCATTATCCATTTGGAAACCAATTGAGAGAATAAAAACTAAAACCACCGAAATCAAATGAATAGAAAGGAAAAAGGGGCAAATAAGTCCGCGTACTAACCAAAAAAGGTCAAATAAACCCTTATATAGGAAGCTTTGTTCGACCGTCGTCATTTGGGCAGTTCCCGGTGGAATTTTTTGATAAAAATTTTTGAGAATCTTATTCATTAAGTCTAGTTTACTCATACCAAATTTCAGGTAACAATTCTGATAAACTCAGTATGCTAACAATCACACAATCATAGCAGATAAGAAGAAGCAGATAGAAAGATTAGATGAAAACCAAATATGGTATACCGTGATGAACGCTGTTGCTGCTGCTCGAGAGAGAGAGAGAGAGAGAGAGAGAGAGAGAGAGAGAGAGAGAGAGAGAGAGAGAGAGAGAGAGAGAGAGAGAGAGAGAGAGAGAGAGAGAGAGAGAGAGAGAGAGAGAGAGAGAGAGAGAGAGAGAGAGAGAGCAGCGGAAAACCTAATCTCTCTATCTCTGTGCCTCTATTTTCTAAAGCCTCGATAGTTAGGGTTCCCGTAAGTTAGCCTCCTTTTATAGGAGAAGTTGGCTAACTTACGGGTTACAAAGAAGCTAACGAGTTGATACACATTTGTGGCCCGTATTACATGTTTAATTAATAACTACACAAATACAAAGATATTTATTTAGATTGGACACCATAAAATATTCCCAACAATCTCCCCCTTGGTGTTCGATCATGTTGAATCAGCATTGCAGCACGGATATCTTTGTCTTTATTGTTAATTATTGAGCTTCCTTTGTCTTTGAACTTGACTTCCTGAGAAGGCTTTATGAAGAAATCCTCGCAATCTCCCCTTTGATGTTTTCTTGCAGTTTGATCTTTGATGTCGGGGTTTGAGGAATCTTTTTCTTGTAATCCTTGCCTTCCAGAAGTTGCTCTTGATCAGCTTAGATGAAGTTCGGTGATGCCTCTAGAATGAATATTCTTTGAAGAATAGAGGGCGCGCACGGGATTCATCTTCAGTACATGAGTATTTGACCTCTGTCTCCTCCACAATGTAGTCTTTTTGACTATTTGGAATGAATGCATTTGAGGAGAACTTGTCGGTGGCACAGCGGAACATAATGATGGTTGACTTGTGAGCGTAGCTGACCATTTGAGTTGCGGAGATAGTAGAAAGAGTGTTGGAGGAGAGAAGTGTCTCAGAATGATTGTTTTTGACAATTAACAGCATGTGGACCACTCTCCCCCTCATGACGATCTGATGACTCGGGGCGTCATGCCTTTATTCTTTTATTCTGCGGAAATAAAACAAGAAAAACAAGCAGAATGGTAAAATGATGATGTAGCCCCCCAGGGTCGTGTAGACACCCGTTTTCATCACTACAGATAAACTCTAAAGCAATGGCCTGAAAATGTTGGTGATTCTTATGTTGCAACAGCAGGACTTCCTTCCGATTATTGGTCTACATCTGTAATAGATGAGCCCTATGGAAGTTCTCGCGGGTCATGTCGACCTGCAACTGACTCAAAAAGTGTGTCTTTGTCCTAGAAAATTTCAAAACATTTGGGAGTGAGGTAACTAGACACGACGTGATCAATGAAAGTTCAGTGGCATGGGGCTGAGGCCACTGTAGTCAGCATTACTTGCCTCGGAAGGAGACAATAATGAGAGATGCGGTTCCCCGTGAAATGTGATTAAGCACCTGTCTGTTGGGAGATAAGTGAGTGGTCTTGGGTAGGGTTAAACATGCACTGTTGGACAAGATGCAGTGACTTCTACCTGGGATCTGATTAAATCAGTCCTGAACCTATTTGGGAATTGTCCAGAGTATTTGAGTGGCTAGGAGTAAATGTTCAATACATAGCAGGCAGTTGAGGTAGCAGACTCATCATTGATTATTGTTTTCCTTCTCACTTGAGCCTTCTGTTTCCTAACTCTCATAATGATTACTCATCCACTCACTCGCTCACTTACTCTCGGCTTTGTCCCTTGGGTAGGCTTAGTTGGGTTTACTAAGCCATAGGAGCATGTTCTCTCATTGATTTTCTCTCTGTACTCCCCCTCAACTGGAGCACTCGGTATGCTTTGTCATTGTTAGGCACCGGGGAGGATAACATTGAACACTCCCCCTAGAATGTTGCATCCGTTGATAGATTTCCTGCTTTGTCGATGTAAGGCGCCAGGAGGAGAAAACTGAAACTCCCCCTCAGAATGTGCAAGGATTGATAGCTCACAGCTCGTCATACCCGCCATGTGTGTGGAGCAATCTAAACAGGTACCACACATGACGAACTCCCTAATCTCATCATTTGGAATTTCAGCATGTTTGAGGATCACACAATGTTGATGAGTTAGGGGAGGCTTCAGTAGTTGATTGTTGATTGTTGTAAGATGACCGTTGATGCGAGGTTGATTGAATTATCTACGATTTTTGGACCTCTACGGTGCAGCGTAGACCTTAGGTTTGACTTTGAAAAAAATTGAACACATTTGCCTAAGTTTTGACCTGGACATCGGTGAATTACAAAGTCTGTCGGAAAACTAACGTTTTGGCCCTCAAGAACTGCGCGTGAGGGCGCGTGAGAATGGGTTCTAGGGCATAGCTCAGAATAAATGTAGATATTTTCGTTAGCTTTCCAATAACAAAAAAAGTTCGCCTAAATCGGATCACCGAGTCAAAAGTTATGGCAAAAACGGTGCGATGTCGCAGAAAATCTCGAATTTTGAGTTTTTGAGGAAATTCTTCGAGGTTGAGGTTCTCGATGTTGAATTTCGAGAGCATGTGAAATTAAACAAAATTCTAAGGCAAAAACTCGAAATCCCAATCTCGAGGTTTAAATCTCGAGATTTTAATTTCGAGTTTGCCTTGAAGAGTAATGGCGAAATCCACCTCCAAAACAAACCTCAGAATATCGAAATCTTCAAAATTTCAAAATGTTTGGAATATCGAAAACTTTCGAGTTTCGAAAACCTCAGAAAATCGAAAACTTGCTATTTGAAAAACATCAGAACATCGAAAACTTCTAAAAACTTTGATAAGCAGAGATTCATTCAGATATCCTATAATGTAAAGCTTCGATGAACTGCGAAGAATGTCAAGTTTCGAACAATTCTGAGTTTCAAGAAACTGCAAACTTTGAAATATTCAAAACATCGAGAAATTCCAAAAATCTCGAAATCTTTCAGAAAGTCGAAATCCTAAACATCGAGTTCCTAAAACTCGAAATTCCAAAACTCGCAATTTTAAAACTCGCAATTTTAAAACTCTCGAGTTTAAACTGTAGCACCGTCCCCAAGCATATTTACTTTTAGTAAATTATGTAATAAACCTTGAAGGATGATTTATGAATTTGCGTAAATGTAAATTTTTATTAATTCTTTTACGTGAATAGTAAATTGCATGTGGGGCCCACGGCCGGACCAGGGGGCCGCCCGATAATTCCCGAACCACATATTATATTCATCTTGGTCTAGATGACATCTACATGGAGGTGGATATTTTATTTGGGCCGTAAGAAAGGCATGGAGTTGACCGGTTGGTCAAACGGGGCCCAATTACCGGTATTGGTAATTTAGCGGATAACAGCCCGAAATGAGTTTCTGAGGCTCCTAAATTAATGTTGGGGAATGTACATCTATTCTAAAGGCCCATAATTATTG